TACGGGTGATCCACGAAGCGTAACGAAGCAACGACATTCGCGTAAGAAAATTCGAGTTACGCCGGGACTCCAGGCAAAACACGACATTACCGTAAATTGTACGCATCCTGCGAATGCAGTCACGACAATTGCACGCACGTTAACTATGCGAACAAGAGCGTGTCGCAATCCTATATAATAAAACACGTCCAGCCAAGACTAATATTAACATAGCATTTGTACGGCACAAATGAATCGAGGCGGCAACATATCGCCGGAAACGCCGTGTGCGCGATATAAAAAAGTCTGGAAGGCCACTGTGAAATAAGTTGGCGTTAGTTGCCCGTTAACGAGTGATATGCCATCGACGGTTCATCGTGCATCTCTGCGATAGAAAAAGTCATTCGAACGACGTTACATTTCGCTGTTAGTTGATCTTACGCTTCGCGTTTTATGCCGGAATTATTCTATTAAAGTATCAAGAGAGGTAATGCCTCTAAATACCTTCGAAAACCTATTCGTATGGTTGTGAAAAATTGGTATTAAAAAAATAGTCCTTGTTAACCGTTCTGTGATACGATAAAAATCCTCGAATTCGCTAAAGTGCACTGAATACCATTTTCAAAGGGATGAACTTATCGGAGCGGAGACATCGTTCCGATTAAACTTGGATACGAGATAAGAACTTCTATTGCGCTAACATCGTTGAACGATAAAATTTTAAGCGGCTGTCGCGTAATGGAAGATTCTCCGATACAACGGCGAGAACAGACAGTAACTATCGTTTCGAGCGCGAGACAACGTAGAGACAGAATCGATTGTCTTTCGAAATCTACGAACACCCGTTAGAATTTACAGTCACGAGGCGAGCGACGATGCCATCGACGTAATAATCCTTCGATAAATAAAATTAAGGAAAAAAATGCTATCGTTATTCGTTTTTTATTTCCAAGATTTTTTTTTAACAAATACGACGATTACTTTTTTTTCTCCTTTGTTCGTGGAGTAGCAATCAACACCTGCACATGACCGGGAACGATGACAAGTATCCGACGAACGCGAGAATTAATAAAGGATTCATACGACCAATGGTAAACCTTGAATACTAATCGTTTCATTAGTATAATCAACGTCGAGATATCATAGTGAAATATTTTCAAACGATGATACATGGTTAAGGTGAACGTGGTACTTAAACTGTGACCAATGAAAGGTTGCAGCTGGAACGACTATGCAACGCTAGAACTACCATTTAATACTACTTAACGACGCGTGATTATATTGCGGCTGTTGCCACCTGTGATCGCAAGCTACGATCACGGATAATTAATAGAATCTGCTCGTTAAGCGACGCTGTTCGTATCAAACACGTGATTTCTTCGACGTGTCGATGAGAAAATTTGTACGAATGGTAAAGCAGACCGTGACGCGTATTCGGATACGAGTAACAATTACGGTTGCAACCGTTATGATTCATAGCTGACCTTTGAACCTGTATACGTACAATAATTGTTTGCCCCTAGGCGCAAAGTCGTGCAGAGGAAAGCAAAGAGGGGAAAGGACGGTGGCTTTTATGCACCGATATTGAGTTACTCTCTAGCTGCTGTACGAAACCGTGGTGTGCAGGATACGCGGCATAATGTACCGGATACGAACTGGATAATGCCAGAAGTGAAGTACGTCTGCCGCAAAAGGCAGAAGAAACAACGGGCGAAAGTATTAGCAGTGGCGAGGAGCACGTCCTGCGTCTGATAAATGCACTTTCCTACGAAAATATAATTTCAGAAACGAACGAAACGCAAGTAACACGTACGTATTTCAATTCCTGTGTAACATAAAACGTTCCATAACGACGAGTAGATACTATCGTGCAGGTTCTGTCAACACCGATGACAAAGTACGTATTCAGATATATGAGAAAGATTACAAAGTAAGTTGCGACTACGATCGTCTCTATTTCGCTTACAGTGGCAAAAATGTGAAATTACGACGAAGCGGTGATATCGGTCGTAAATTTAGTGCAAACCATCTACGTTGTTAAACAACGACTGTTTGCGAGTGAACATTTATTAGAAAATCAGCAACGGTGCTTTGAGGGAAAATTCGTCGAAGGTAGGAAAATCCACTGTATATAATATGTACGTTGAACGTCGAGTGCATCCTGCTAGGGACGGTAAAAACGATTTCACGGTAGCCCGAATTTGGAGCAAGTCCAAGTTGAAAATCGATCGACCTTTAAACCAATCGGGTACATATATGCTTACCGTTTCTTTGCCGGGCCATAAAACGAACAAAGTATCGGCCATTCTATCGGGAATCGTTTCGATATAAATCCGTCCTTGGCAGAATTCTTCTTTTTTTTTTTTTTACTGTTATTCATACATGCTAGAAACTTAAATGAGAAAACCGAACGTGGAAATTAACGAAGGTAAATAAATCTTTTAATACCGACGACTGATACTTCTCCAATTAATCGTTAATTTTAGTATCTGTCGCGTTAGCAAAGTTGGTACTCGATGTTTGAACCTTCCTTGCGTCGTGGATACCATCTTCAAGTCAGGTTCAAGCATGATTCAGGGATCGATTGTACCGTAACCACCGTTCACGACAGAAACGACGCGCACTCGGTCTCAATTGGGAAACGGTATTTCTCCCGGGTGAAAATTTATACGTTAATTATAAAACTGAATCGAATCGAATTAATCAAATGAAACCGCTCGACGCGAAGAAAGTACCAACAACGAAAGAAACAGACCGCAAAGATACTAATGGGGGAGTCGGGCAAAGGCTTCGTAGCACGGTGGATTAATTCCGAATCCCTAAAGCTTCCGTCGATACTCCGTCTCTTCCATTCCATCCGTCACATGCGGGACGAGAGAGTCGTTTCGATCGATAGGTCGAGAATGAAATTCGCAATAAACAGTTCGCGCCGCGACCCGAATGACAATCGGTGCCGCGTATCCGCAGCGATACGAATTTTCCGTATCGAAATGGGGGAAAAAAAAGAAAAAGGGGGGGAAACAAATTCACTCGGTGCGGTCGCGTCGAGTGGCTCGATATCCCTTGGTGGAGTGACGGGCGCGTCTAAGGAAAAGCGTGCAAATGAAATTGGAAAACTTGGAAGTTTCAGAAAACGCCGCAGTGCTCCGCAGTCCGAGTGGGTTCCGGAGAGAAAAGGATAATTGCGGCAGAAGATGAGGAAGAAAAAAAAAAAAAACAGCAGGCGCTTGAAAGAACGGGAATGAAAGCTCGCTACCTGCTGAATTCCTGTTCGCGAATAAAATGAGGCGACCGTCCCGGAGACATTTAAACGAGCACGAACCGTAACGGAGCTGAATGAAAACGCGAAATTCTTGTTGCAGTGTCTGAATCTTTCTGCGTAATTCTCCCACGATTCGTATATTTTACGATGACTTTTATGCTCGGGAAAAAAACCGACCGTCGATCTTACGTTAGAAGAGCTTACGATGGTTTAGCGGTTAATAACCGGCCAGGTTTGCAGACACATGTAAATCAACCAGACCACGGTACGCGTCACGATGTATCGAAGATTCTGATAAAAGGAGTAATCGACCGGAAAAATTGACAGCAGCTGTTCCTAACTGGAAGGCGCTGTATAAATAGATATGCTTGTCAAATAACATCATCGATCGATCACGTGAAACCTTGAATGGGAAATTGGGATTTCGTCAAACCGACGCTTAACGACTTTACCCAATATTTATTATCTCCTGGGAGTGTGTAATCAAGTGTTTCGCCGCGTGCCGTATTGGTTTTCCACACGGTACGTCGTGTAACAATGCTTTAATTATGTGTCAATCAAATCAAATGTCAGACAAATGAAATTTATCTCTAATTAGTCTTATCTTTAGTTTTCTTTCCTTCGCGTGTGTAATTCAAAGAGCCGCGGCCGATCGTAATAAGATTAATTGCGCAACGATCCGTTAACGAACGTCGATCGATAGAAAATACCTATTTGACCGGGAGACTTGAACATTTCAGCAAATACAGGGATTAGTAATTCAAGTTTCGTTAACTTCGTAAATAACTCTTTGATCGATGCTCGTTCCGTGAAAGGTTTCGCAGCGCAAATGACCACGCTTCTCGTATACACCAAATATGGAAGGCGTTTTTAACACGTCGTTTAGCGTATCCGCCGTTTCTGTACAATTTTCCGTGGCGTTATCGCGCGACATAAAAATACAGGTATCTAGCACAAACGTTTCATGGATATCGTCGCGTCCTCCGACATTTCTTAGGGGCGTCACAATTTACGACATTTCGATCTGCTGTCGCCAAAGTTCACGCGACAATGGGTACCGATACGGCTGTGTCAGAGTCGTTCCAGCTTTGGCTCCATATCCGCCGATAAGCTTATCCAACAATTAAACACCGTGGATTCCGTAAATAACTGAAATATCCACGGTAGGCTAAACAGGATATTTTCTACGACCCGTAAAATTTTGTATACAAATTTATATTTCAATGGACGAAATCACGAAAAATGACAATATTCGGTCTCGAACGTTATTAGACATCCAAAGCACATTTCGTTGGTCGGTACGGATTCACGTTTACTCTGATCCACTACGTGTAGATAAATGTATTAACCTGTTAACCGGGTATGACGAAATATTTCGCCATACCAGGAAGACAACTCCAATAGGGATGACGACTTTTATCGTCATGGAAATTTTTAATGATACGCATTACGTTTTACATCCTCGCCCATTAAAACCTAGCGTGGCCGTATGGGAAAAAATATATAAAATATATATATGGGCCTATTGTGAAACGAGTCGAACAAAAGTTAATTCCCCGGTTAACAGGTTAATTTCGACGCAACGAACACGGTGACACGAAACGAAAAGCAACGCTGAAATAGAGAGTCTCTCGATCGTGGCCACGGATTTATTCCACGCAGGTGTACCGACGTCGAAAAAAAGGAACTGGTATGCACGAAGCTAATGCCAGTTCCTCTTGAATCGACCTCTTCGAGTTCGGTGTTACGTAACACTTACCTTTCCCACTTTCCCCCGTATCCTTTCCGTTGAACGAAGAGCGAGAGAGAGGTGCAAAAGGCCGGTTTCTCGGTCGTTCTTCCGTGATCGCCCACGTGCTAGACTCTCGCTTTCTCTCTCTTTCCTTCCTCTATATTCTTCCCTCTCACCCTTGTCTTCGATTCTCGAACAAAGCCCGCGTGAAAGCAACCTTGGCCTCTGATACGCGCCTCGAATGGAATCCGTTTGGTGTCGAGAAGTACGTGTATACCGTTCGCGAGAAAATTCACCGTACTCGCGATGTGGAGAACAGGATGCTAAGTTTCCCAGAGGTGTCACAGGGAGGAGAGAACGAGCAGCCCTTTGGAACCGGCTGGACCAGGGTTTCCTGACACCGATCCAGTAACTGACCTTCTCAACGTGCAACCGGTTTTCGCGTGCACGCTTTGCCCGTTCACCACCAGTTCGTGACCATTCACTTGGCATTCACCGTCGCACCGGTTCCACGTTAGATACCCAACCGATTTTACCCGACCTGCAACCCTAATTTATCGGATGCACACACGACGAGATTCGATTCTGAGTCCGAGAATACGATGTTGCGTCACGTTTACAGACGGTATGCAAGGTACGACGAGGAAAAGTAATGGCTTTAGTCCTCGATGAGAAAACCAGAGACCAGTTACACGCGGCGTCTCGGTGAACACTGGCGAGGTGACCGGCCGCGAGTTGACGCAAACGTCGACGTCGACCCAAAGCGCTGCCGAGAGTGAATGACGGGGAGGCGGGATTGGTCAGAGCGCCGCGGCATACACACACAGATACTCTGTCTCTATGCTAGTCTTGTAGTCAACGGCGAGTAAATAGGTTTTTTAATTGAACGATCCAGATGCAACGATAATCGTTCTCCGGCTGAGAAACGGACGAAGGTTACGGGATAATGGAATTTAACGGGACGTTAAGAAGTCAACGAGTGTGCATTACTCGAATTGCTTTTAATCTTAATTGTTTCGAAACCGATTTCATGCCGGGAGTGATTCGTGACCTGTCGGCCCCGGACACGATAATGTGAAATATTGAAACGGAGCAACCGAAGAAATTGCCTACGGTGTGTTTGCTTTTCTGGACCGATCGCGGTCCTACCGTGACAGTTTTCGCGTGCAACGATTACGATACATATATGGGATAAAGAGTGTGGGATAGCGTGACGCTCGCATTTTTGGTCATTGAAAAACACGAAATTGGTGTCCACGCGAAACTCACGATACCGAGACACGCCGATATCTTCGGTCTGGTGGATTTCATTGCATTTCCGGTAGGATATTCTTTATTGATAATCATCTCGTCGTGTACGGATGTACGAAATGTGGACACAGTTTGATTCGACACGTTGTGAAAATCGAAAGATATAGGATAAATCAATCAGTAGTTGATTGCATATTAGCGAATGACCATTCGACAAAGAACTGTAAATTATAAATTTCAAGTTATTACATGTTTGTATATGGAGTACAGTTGCGCTTTTAATATCCTATGAAAATACTAATAACTACGATTCTTACTGAACAAATTTCAAAAATGTAGCAGTCATTTACTAGGCTTTTACACTTTATCAATTATTTTTTAAACGTTACGGTAAGGATAATGTGATCGTTTTTATAAAAATTTCCAGAAAAAGAATTGTAATTGCAATTACAACAGCTGTTTTGTTGTTGTAAATAAATACATTCAAGAATTAATCCCAAGCAATAAATTCGACAATTCGGTCATTCGCAGGCTGGTTTACCCTAACCTACATATAACGTTCTCCAATGTTCCGTGGGCAGGTGGGGTCGTGTGACACGAAGATGCAATAGCTGCCAGGTCGATCGGTACGTATAATAAGTCAGCTTTCTATCTGGTTCACGCGCGACCAACCACAAACTAATATATCCAACGTGTGTGTTGCTTCGGTGGATGAATGCGCGGATTTCCCGTTCCCGCGTATTTATAGCACTTACCCGGTCCTATTTTGGTCTAAACGGCACGAGGGGATTCGGTCAATGGTATGAATCATATAATGATTCGTATTAAACATTTCGAAGGATCGATTTTTCGATCGAGCGTTATACCTCGACGTAATTAACGAAAATCCATATTTCGACTCCAGAGCCAGACTGTATTAAGTCACACTATTCAAACATTAAGGGTGCAAAAACCTCGTAACTTTGGAACCGTAATCGGTAGACATTGCTACCTTCGAACTACTGAATGGACTTAAAACAAGTCTCGATATCTAGAAATGACGAACATTGTTTTAAAAACATAAACTTAATATCATTTTTACACTATTATGTACCTATATTAAAAACTAGAAGCAGTGGAAAATTTTATAAAAAAAAAAAAAAAAAAAAAAAAAAAAAAAAAAAAAAAAAACTGGACTTAATACAGCCTAGGGGTCCAGATATACGCGTTCCGAACCGACGAACGGATAGACAAAAAGGCGCGAGTCCTTCCCAGGAAAGTGGAATCGATCCACGGGGTAGAAGAGAATTCCGCAGCTCCGGGGGCGAATTTTTTCCCAGGCGCGCGAGCATTCGTCTATCTCCTCATCTATCCCCCCGTACATAATTATATTTCTGTTCTAATTAACGTGGCTAAATGTTCGTGTTTATCCATCGTCGGTAGACCTAGGTTTTCGCACGAACCTTCGTACACCCGTGTACCGATGGTGTTCCCACGCGTGTGCGATGTCAACGTGTGTAGCAAAGGTACGCTGGTCGCGTCCGGTGCGCGCGCGCCTTCTTCAGCAGGCCATGTGCGCGCACGTTGTATGTATTATGCATGACCGGGGTGTTAAGTATGAAAAGGAAACACCGAAGAGGCACTTGCCGCGAGCGTTAGATGCATCGGAGAGGGGTTGGGGGCGAGGGGTCTTTCGCCCATCTTCCCCCAAAGACAATGGAATCTGGCATCCGCCACTTTGAATCAAGCTGACTGCCTGCTTTACTTCCGTTCACGTTCAACGTCACGGAATTTTCATCCCATAACCATCCACTAACGACCGCCGAAATATGCACGAGCGGGTCCTCTTTCCCGAAAAACTGGCAAAAATTCATAAATTCGTTGGATTTTCATTAAATTCGGTATTATACTTTCGGGGTTTCTGAATATCTTGCGGAAAATGGAAAATGCACAAAATTCTTTTTTCGATTTTCATGGAAAATTCAGCATTCCCACGTTTGGCAGGTCGTGTATGTAATTGAAATATGTTGTTGACACTAATAATGAGCAAAGTAAGGATTATAAATGTTTGAAATAAAAACAGTGGTATTTCACGACTAACTAGTTTAGGACCGATGTTGCGTATATATGGACAATATTTATTATGGCTAAGCCGGATGATCTAAGGTAATATTTTACTATTTCCAGTGACATTTGTTACACTGCTGTGTATACATGTATTAAACGTCATACTAGCGGTAAGCTGCTGTATACATAAAAAAATGTATTTTGTCCAGCTGTTACTGGACCACTGTAGGAGGACGTAATTGGTTAACGTACCGTGTCCTCGTTCTCTCGATATTTCGAAACGAACTTAAGCGGTTTCATGGAATATTCCGTTACGGTGAACACCCGTCTGAAAGCTACGGGATATTTAACGAGCAAACTATATTACCCTTAACAACAGATCCTACCCACCCTCCAACTTCGATCAGAAACCACCGTCGGGTTTCTGCGGTATTCTACCACGTTCCTCCGCCGATAATTCAGACTAACCCGCGCAGAGCCGAATTCCTCGCGGAAACTTCAATTTCCCCCGATATCGGCCGTCCGATGGATTCGTATCGCCGTCGGGTGTGCACACCTGGACTGGAGCAGACTCGACGGAAGTGACGGTTGATAGATTCGCATAAAACATCTCGTTCAGCCATGCGATACGGGCTTTAAATTTCGGTCGTCAAGACCTACACAGACGGAGTACTCGTGCAAAATTGCGGCGGAAGGCAGCTACCGTTCGGTGGGTCTCCGTGCAAAAACTGATAAGGGAAAATATATATTCCCCAGTGGGCTTGGCTTCTATTCCCTTTCCCTTAAACTCCCGTGCGCGGCTGACGAGGTGTCTTGGAGGTCGGCCAATTTACACTCCATTCTTCTTTGAGATAAGTCGGATAAGAATGGAATTGAAATAATCTCTTTATCCCTGCCGCGTAACCCAACGTAACGAAATACGAATGATTCTCCGTTGAGGGAACAAGTCGGTGTAATGTATATTTTATTCAGGGAAGAGGGGGAAAGGATGAAATCGAAAGCCAAGCCTTATTCCTGAATGCTGTAGGCACGCGAACACTCGCGGATAAAAGGATCAGAAATTGCTCGGCTTCTCTGTTCATCCTCCCCCAGAGGTACACCTAACAGCGCTGCTGGGAAGAGATAATTCAGCATATCTCTCGAGTAATTACACACTATCCGCCGCTTATCGGGAACCCAACTCGCGGGGAAATCGTTATTTGCCCTGCAGTAATGCCTTTACGGTGAATTAAATTACTTGAAACTTTGGTCAATATCGCCGGCTTTACCGTAATTCGTTGCCTAACGACTGCCCAGAGACCGAGCAATTTCTCCTAACAGCGCGGAATTTTCGATGGATGTTACTCAATTTGTCTTGCAACGTCCTGTTGCGTAAGAACTAATTTAAAACGAAACAAACATTGTAATGTTGCGCGCATTATCTTGCAGTGACATTCGATTACTAACTAACGAACGAACAAGCAATTACGCGTCCTCGGATTCCAAAGGATTAAATCCGTAATAGAACCGGAAACATCGTATTCTGGAAATACAGTTTTCAGTTCTACGCGTATTAAACGTATCCAGGAGAACGCGCAATGTATTTAGTAGCAAAAATAGCACCACTTGCCGCGGTGTACACCGTCGTTGCGAACCGAAAATCAACGATTATGGCTGTAGCTGGGATCCCCGGCATTTACCGCAAACGCGAAGCTACCACGAATAAGCTCCAGAATCAACGATCGGTTGACGTTACAGCTACCGTCCCGCACCTCTGTCCATAATTTACATTATACTGCACCACCCTGGCCGTAACAGAACTATTAGTGTAAAAGGACGAAATCCTTGTGTACGTTTACTTCCACCCGCCATTACTTCCCCCTCTTATTCACTAGATTTTCCCCAGTCGTGTATAATTTACACGCTTCTCTTTGGTTTCTGTGTACCTAAATACCTGCTCTAGAAGCACCGAGGAAGTAAAATTTAAAATGATTCTCGATTACTAACAGCCATAGGATACGATTAAAAATTACGTTGATCTTTACATTTATATTGTAGAAGAAAC